CTTCTAATGTTACTAACAGTTCTAATGAAGGTGACTAGTTGTTCTTCTTTAACTAGGATAGATATATAGATAGATATTCTAGTTAAGGTAGAACAGAGTCAATCTGAAGGATGTCTATGATAGAACTAGTCTAGAACCCTCTTAAAACAACTCTACTCTGGAACACACATAGACCCAGCCTGCTAGATTTTGTCTGAGAGTTCCTTAAAGTCTTTAGTGAAGAGGAATTCAACTAGCTTCCTAAACACTATCCTTAGAACTATGTAATTGAATTGATCAAGGGTTTCCAACCTAAGGATTGTAAGGTCTACCTACTCAACAGAGACAAGTAGGAGGTGCTTAACAAGTTCCTTTGAGAAAATCTTTGGAACAGCTAGATCTGACTCTTAAAGTCTTCTATAGCCTCCCCTTTCTTCTTTGTCAAAAAGAAAGATAGGAAGCTCTATCTAGTCTAGGATTATTATTGTCTTAATAAGGGTACTGTCAAAAACAAGTACCTGCTCCCTCTGATTTAGGAGCTTATTAATAAGACACATACATTTAGGGTTTTTACTAAGTTGAATGTTTGATAGAGGTACAATAATATTCAGATCTAAGACAGAGATGAGTGGAAGACTGTGTTCTGAACTAATTGTAAATTGTACAAACCAACTATAATATTCTTTAGACTAACTAACTCACTTGTAACATTCTAGTCATTTATGAATTACATTCTTACAGATCTGATTGACTCAGAGCATGTTAGTGTGTATCTGGACAACATTCTGATCTTCACCCAGATAGTCAAGTACTATTACTAACTAATCTAAGTAGTTCTACAACAGTTCTGAGATAATAAACTGTTCCTTTAAGAAGTAAAGTACTCTTTTGTGTAGGAGTCAGTAGATTATCTAAGCTTTGTAATTAGTAGAGGAGAGGTCTGTATGAATCCAGCAAAGGTAACTACAGTTCAGAACTGGTTACAACCTTAGAACCTGAAACAGGTCTAAGCATTCCTTAGGTTTGTAAACTACTACTAATACTTTATTCAAGACTTCAGTACTATTGTCTAGCCCCTTTACAATCTTACTAGCAAAAATGTTCCTTAGTAATAGAATGATCAGTAACAGTCTGTGTTTGAGTCTCTCAAGTAGGCTATTACTAGTAAGCCTGTATTAGTAGTTCTAACAGTTGTAGACAAGTTTTGAGTCAAAGCCAACTCTTCCAACTTTATAAATAGAGTAGTACTGTCCTAGTTTATTGACAGAAAGTAGTGTCTGATAGTGTTCTGATTAGAATCCCTCTCTACAACAGAACAGAACTATCTTATTTATAACAAGGAACTTCTTACAATTGTCTGTTCCCTAAAGGAGTAGTGTCAATATCTCCTTAGTACTATACAGAAGTTTAAGATTTAGAGTGATTACTTTAATCTCTAGTACTTCTAGACACCTTAGAAGCTTAACTACTACTAAGCCTACTAGATGTTAGAACTGTAGGACTTCAACTTTGTACTGACCCACAAACCTAGAACACAAATAACAAAAGCTGATTTACTCTTAAGACAAGTAGGTTATGAAAGGGGAGAGAATGATAACAAAAATCTTGTTCTTCTAAACAATTCCTGTTTCATGTCTGAGACAATCTGAGAGATCCAACTCAAATCTGAGAATGTTAACTTTATTACCTGTATACAGTAAGCTTTAAGACACACACACAACCAGGTTGTAGTAAAGCAGTTAGAGAAGCAGGTTAGGGATTGGGAGGAGGATAAGGATGGATGAGTTTACTAGGAAGGCTGACTGTACATTCTGAAGGATTAGAAGCTGTAAGAGGACATTGTCTGAGCTCATTATAACAATCTGACTGTAGGACATTTGAGCCAACACAAAACACAGGAACTCATTACTCAGAACTACTAGTGGCTCAGAATGTAGAGGGAAATCCTAAAGTACATAACTGGTTATAATACATACTAACAGACTAAGGCCTACCAGACAAGGGTTTAGGCTCCCCTACATCTATATTGGATTCTAGATTACTCTTAGGAAGAAGTCTTAGTAGACCTGATTAGTAAGCTACCTGAGTCTTAGGGTTATAATACTATCTGTATGATTGTTGACTGATTCTCTAAGTAAGTCTATACAGTTCTGACCCAAACAGAACTTACTTCTGAAGGTATAGTGTACATTTATTAGGATCACATTTTCTGGTTGTACAGACTCCCTCAGAAGCTCATTCATAATTACAGACTATAATTCAAGTCAAAATTCATGTAGGACTTGTATATACTTCTCAGAATTTAAGGGAACCTTTCTACTACCTATTACTTACAGACTAACAGTCAAACTGAGCAAGTCAATCAGGAGATTGAGCTCTACCTCTGGATGTTTATCAATCATTAGTAATCAGATTAGTCTGAATAGCTAGCTCTAGCAGAATTTGTACACAATAACTAGTAACACTCTACAACAGGACAATCCCTATTCTTCCTCAATTATAGAAGACATCTGTACTAGGGAACAGTTCTGAACTGGAACAATAGTTCTGAATCTACAACAGACTTTGTAGAACAGATGCACAGAACCAGGGAGGACATACAAGCTCTTTTGGAAAAGGTAGTACAGGTTATAAAGTAGAACTATAATTAGAAGAGGTCTGTAGCTAAGGATTACTAGCCTAGTGACAAAGTTATACTAGAAGCTACTAACCTGACCACAGATTGTCTAATAAAGAAGTTAGACAATAAACACTTTAGACCCTTTGTTATTAAAAAGAAGGTCAGTACCTCTGCCTACAAACTCTAACTTCTAACAACATGGAAGTGTATACACCCAGTGTTTAACAAGGTTCTACTGTCTCAGTACTACAATCCAGGTTTTCCTTCACAACAAAGACCCTTACTGTCTCTACCAGAACACATTAGTTCTAAACCAGAATACAAAGTAGAGTATGTAACAGATACTAAGCTAGTGTGTAGAAAGCTCAAGTTCCTTATCTACTAGAAGGGATACCTAGTTGAAGAACACACTTGGGAACCTGCTGAGAATCTCACCCATACTGTTAAGACAATCTGAGACTTCTATTGACTTCATCCAGGTGCTCTGCATCAACTCTGCCTCACAGATTTCTAAACCCTACCATTCCAACCTATACCTAAGCTACTGACCAAGCCTAATGTTCACCAATCAGGACAATTGGTTTTAGAGAGAGGGTGATGTTACAGTTCTCTACCCTTGTACCTTCAGTTCTAAGGGTTCTACATTACAAAAAAGTCTTAAGTATTGTACTTACTTGTAATCTCATATATTTTATATATTTTATAAAATTTGTCCAATTACATATAATCTTCCTGGGGGGTTAAGTAATGACAGTACAATGTTAGATAAGTAAGTGAGAATACTTTTAAAACTTGGCAATTTCCATTATAATTTTATAAATTGTCAAGTTATAAAAGTGATTATAACACTTTCTAAGATTACAAGACTAAGACATACTTATTTATTTGAGAAAGTATAATATCTGCTTATAATACTTATAAGTCATTACAAGCGTTTGAATTGCTTCCTTTTGCTTTGGATACAATTTTTTATCAAATAATTAATAAAATATAATTATATTTAATTATTTAATACAAAATAATAAATGATACATTATTTCTACAGTCCTAACCTCTGCACCACCAGCAGCCTCTGCCTTGTTCTTTCGTGAGTAGAATTCGTGTCGGAAAAGGATGAACGCATCCTCAGGCCGTTTGATGTAGTCTTTGTCACTACAGTTGGTCGTCACTCGGGACCTGTGAGTCAAATTGCGTGTGTGTGTCAGATGAGGTCGAGCGGGTTGTGGAGGTTGAGGCTGCACCTGTTAGACAGGTTTAGAGTAGTTAGCAAGTGACAATACAAGATAAAAGGTGGATGTACTGCAACAGTGTGTAGCAAGTGTGAGTGGTGCATACAGGTTGAGATCCGGAGCGTTGAACAAGTTGATTCAGGCTGAAGACAAAGCCATATCAGTATGCATATGATTATATTCTGACTGACGTGCAATTGGAGGAGTAGTGAACTGAGTCGTTTTTGTGGATTGTAAAGGTGTATCTCTGGGACGTACCGGCTCGAACAGAGAAGGCGAAGTGGAACGTATGGACGGACTCAGCTCAAGAGGGGTAAGTGGCGGTCCACTGCTTCCGTTCGATATGGTGTTGTCTGCTGCACTAGGGAATGTAAATGCACGTGGGGTGGACCTGTAGAGAGTGATGTTAAGCATGGAATGGGTAGGGAAGGAGAGCACGTACAGCGTCAAAGAGAGGGTCGTACCATGGGAGTGGTCGTACGTTGGTATTGTCGCGAGCGCGCGCTTGTCGACTGTTGCTTGCACTACAGAGTAGGAAGTATGCGAATGTATGGAAACATTGAAGAAGTCGTTCGGCATTGGTCAACAATGCGGATGTGCGAATGCGAATGCAAAAAGGAAGGCGAGTGTAAACAAAGGAGGACAATGAAGGAGAGGTAACGCAAGTGGCGGAGCGAGGAGCGGGAGGGGTGGAAGGGAGACAAAAAGTTGGGAGGAGAGGGATGAGCAACCATTGTGCGAGTTATTATGAAGTGGACTGGCTGCTTACGCTTTACGATGAAGGACGGTGTAGTCAGCTCGGTGGCATCATCGCGGGATCTGAGGCTCAGCGCGGGCATCGCAGCGGCAGATTGGAGAGACGAGTACAGTGATGTTTATTGCCTATGTTGAAGCAGGCAGAGTGCCCGCCGGTGGGACGCTTGTAGGCAGAAGAATGGGCTAGAGAGAACAAGAGCAACAACATAGTGTTGGGGGAAGAGGATTGGGGAGATAGTGGAGGTAGGAGGGAAAGGAGTGACGAGAGCAAGTGCGTCATTATATGCTCTCGATCTTCGGTACTCAATTATGTAATCACTTCAAAATATAGTTTTAAAATAAAACTAAATTATATTATAAGCCTAACAGGGTGATTGTTAACAATATTAATATATATAATCACATATTATCTTACTAAAAGTATTGTAATTAACTTACAAGTACAATGTATTACTTTTATGACTATTATAATCTATCAACTATTGTTACAAATAACTTATAATATAATTTTAGCATATTATAATAGGAGTTAAGTGCTTGTATCTCACATGTAATGTTGTAATAATACTATTAGTAAGCTTACTTGCTCTAAAACATGTTTTTAGTTTAATAAAAACTTTGTATATTTCTTACATTTATATACAATCATTATAATTACATTACAAGTAAAATACAAGTAGTGTTTTAGAATGTAATGCTTATGAAATCATTTCATTAGATTACTTTTGCTATTATTAAATACATTTGTTGTGACTTTTTCGTGATGTACACCCTTCTGTACTAGAACTCAGGACTTCCATCCCTTAGGGGTACTGTCTATAGACTATATGTGTGCTGACTCTTACTACTACCCTTCCTTACTTCATCATTCCATTCCTTTGACCACCCCTTCATTCTTTGTTCATTCTATAGTCTCTTACCCTTTGTCCATCCCTTCATTCTTTATACCTTTATCTTTAACATTCCTTTCTTTCATTCTTTGTGGCTTATTATTCTTAAGTAGCTCATGCTCCCTGAGTACTCTTGTGTAGTTTAGTATATATAGGCATACAAGATTAGACTGGTCCTGTAGTCTTGATCTTGTCTACTCTAGATAGTCCTGTACTCTTAGGCTCACTCTATATACTCTACTCTTGTCTCACTCTCTCTCTCTGCCTGTTCTGCAAGTTCTGACTATGTTCCAGTACTTACATTCTGTATTTCTGTTGTGTAGGATAGTTGTAGCCTAGGTCCCCTTGCTGAGCCTTCAGGTCCCCTCTATGCTGTTGCTGACACCAAGAGAGGCAGCCTCTATGACAGTCAAAGGCTGCTTACACTTTGCCAGTGCCATATATGCAGGCATGTACTAAGATGTGATCTTGTATTTCTGTGCTAGTTGTGCCCTGCTAATCCCATCATACTCAAACCCCTCAAGCTTGGATATTGTGTGGCACCTAATATCATGGAACTGCCACATATGAGATAGGGCCAGTACTCTCTCCCAACGAAGGCAGAAATTTTCATCATCAGGAGTGGATGTGTCACCTGCTTTAAGACACCTAACATAAGAGATATTTTATTGTAGGTTCGGCAAGGAGCTACTAGTTGGTTCTGTTACAACTTACTCAGGGTAAAGCAGGTGTAACAAGTCCTCAAATGCACCTTCCTCGACACCCTCCAAGTGGATTGGATTATCATCAGAGTCACCTTCATGTGGGACTGTGCTGCACGCATCGATCGCAAACATATCACGGAATACTTCGGAGAAATTCGCAAATCGTTCTCGGGGGACTCTAAACAACTGATTGCCAACCTAGCATAAAAGCAATATTAAATTAAAGTGCCAATCAATACTATTGACTATGACGCACACGGAATGTAACAAGAGAGAAATAAAACGTATAATTTCTTTCAATTAGGGGTAGTGCAACGCTAAATTCATCCCAATTGGACCAATCCCGGGATGTACGCTTCTCATCTTCTTCGTAAATAAACCCGCTGGCAAGACGTGAATCTGCTGTGTCACTTTCGCTGCAATCGGGGACAGATGTCTCGTCCGATTGTGGCAGCATTTGGAGGAGGGTTTGGAGACCAGCTTTGGACGAGGTGGGATGCCGATAGTTTAGCTCACAAGTTGTGCTCACTTGTAATGCTGGAAATAAGCTTTGAGGGACACCTCGTGCAGACCTCATGTCTGTATATCGGCATATTCATAAGATGAAATACTATACAAGGCCTCAGAAGCAATTTTGGGCAGCACACGAATATGGAAATCGATTGACGAGAATGGGAAATACAGATACAGCAAGTTTACGAGTTTACGTAATGTGACTGCCACCGTCTCCAGCGTCCTTATGGTACCGAACGCAATGCTGAACTTCGATGCCAGTCACTGCTGACTCTCAGCACTATGCCTCTTACTCTTCCACTCAGCAATCACCAGATTATGGAAATACAGGTTACAACCGAAGAGCAGACCCCGCCACCATACAGCACTACCCCAGCGAGTACGACAAAGCACACGAACAAGCTGGTCCTAGCCATGTAGTGGAGCATGCTCAAAGTCCTAAACGTAGTCCATCCCTATTCCGTAGGATAAGTGCGACGGTAAAATCCAGGTCTTCACCGTCGATGTCCACTATTCGCCAAAATTTACCACCAGGAGGCTCCGGAAATGCTTCAAATGTCCGTGCAGATCCAATGTATGCCGCACCTTCAGCGACGTCCACATCGCAATCGTCAGGCTTGCATATGAATCCTGTTTCGCGGTTCAGGAAAGCGCGCAACGCAGCAAAAGATACTTCTCGGCACGAACGAGACACGAAGACGGAGCGTGTTGTTACGACCGAGGAGTGGCGTGTTTATGGTCGGACAGGTCAGAGCAATCCATCTACACACCCTCCATCCAGTGCAAAAGGTCAGCACACTTCTGGCCGATGGCATGATGCGAATCGGCAACACGGAAGATCGGGATCGGAGGTCCAATGGAATCAAGCAAATCCGCGACAAGAGTGTCCTCAGTCAAACACACCGCTTGCACGGAGTAATACAGTTGGGACATCAATGGCTCGAAGCCGAACAGAAATGTATCCGAGGGAGGGAGGATACTACCGAAAATATCAGTACTCGTCTTCTGAACGACATGAAACTGAATCCTCAGCCCAAGCAAGACCCGATAATCACTCGCGTACTGGGAATCCTCCGCGTATGGGAAAATACGGTGTATATGCAAGTCCAAGTACTGCCACGACGCGAATCCCAAATCCCTCCCAAGAAATTTGGCTCCCGCGAAAGGATGGAGAGAGTGCAGATCGGACAGCACGCAGATCGCCAACGACACGAGTCGAAGGCTGGAACGTACAGATTGCACCATCTACAGTTTCTTCTGTACCCCTATCCGGGCAAAACAGACACACAAGAGGATCAACACAAGCCCGTACTCTAAACACGGATTCTCCAAGTCTTACATTTGTAACCGACCACCCTCTTTCGGAAGGAGCAGTGCCGTCACCTCCTGATGCCTTGGAAGCAGAAAAGGCAAAAGAATTCGCAATGAATTTGGCAAAACGGATGTCCATGTTATTAACGGCAGACGATGTAGACGTTGACTCAAATCCTGATTCCGGAGTAACACGTCCATCGGACGGTTTACCTACATCCGTCGACGATGCTCAGGTGTCCTCCCCTACTACCTCCGGAACAGCTACACCTACACGCCCGGTTGCCCAAGATGAATCAGTACACCCCGGTAATGAACCTGAGAATTCATCAACAAGCAATGCTGATACAAGTTCACCGTTCGGCACTTTCCTTTCGAATGCACGTGAAATGAACAACGCTTTCGTACGAGGGACAGAGTCCATGTGGGGCAAACTTTTCGGAAAGAACAGAGGAAAGGAGAAGGGGGAAGCGCCCGAGGAAACAAGGGAAGAGTCGGCTTTAGCAGCACAAGAGGCGTCAAAGTCTGATGTAGAAGAGTCCGAGGTCGAAGGCTCACGCGACATAATGCTTTATTCGCCACTCATTCCAGATGCTGATTCAACTGTCGAGCTGGCTGCATCTGAGGTAGTGACATTGTACGGAGATGGATCTGACGATGCTCGAGAACGTGCATATCGTGACGAGTTGCGCCGTCGCTGGGCAGATGGACGTGGCTTTGTTTCGTTTGACGCGTTATCGACTATTGAACCAGTGCAAGAAGAATCAGACGATTCGGAGGGCACTCAGCCGAAGGCCGAGCAGGAGCATTCAGCTACTGTAGACAACACTCCCCTGCAGCCTACCAGTGATGCAGAACAAGCTAGCAAGCAAAGCGATAGACCACGGCCTAGAGAAAGGGTCGTATGGGTGCCATCGCGAACACAGATCTCAGTTCAGGTGCTTTGGTGGGGATACCGCATGTACGTCTTATTAGAGAATCTTTATCGTCTGTTCTATTCTAAATAGTCTAATCAATTCGTATCTAGATACCTTCCTCCGCCTGTCCTTCATGTACTTAGCAATCGGACCATAGAGACGGCAAAACGCGCGGCTCTATTAACGGCAGCGCTCACTTGGCTGCTGGAGAATTTACCGATTGCAACGCTACCTCCAGTGCTTGCACCAGCTGCTCTCCTGCTTAGAGCGCTCGTGCCACTGCTCGGTATGATCGGTGCATTTATTTCGTGGGGCTGGAAGGCGACAATTACGTTTGATAAGGGAAACGGTGTTGTGTTGAGTGCGACGTGGTTGTTGCCGATTGTTCTTGTCCCGGGGACATGGGAGGATAACGAGGTGCCTCCTACCCCCTCTGGCATTGGTGCCGAGAGCATGGCTGCTGGACCGCCGAGACAGGACACTCGATCCTCGAACGACCTTGCAGGAGTAAGCACCGACCAACGTGCATCAACGTCATCATGAAGGCACGGATTACTACTCAATTAAGTGCCTGACTTTGTCCTTCGAAAAGTCCGTGCAACCACTCCGCCTCCCGAACCATTTCCTCTACAGTACGCGGAGGACGTTCATCGTCTGCATCAACTTTCAATCGATTCATTCTTTTGTCACCCTCTACCTCCTTTGTTGCTCTCTTGTTCACTTCGCGCTGCATAGCTTGCAAATCACGCGGAAGCGTATGTTCGCTATCTTCCAGCGCGGGATAGACTGCGTCGTTGTTCTCAGAGAACGCATCCCCCCCATCCGGACGCCCGGGAAGCTTTCGCGGAAGGACATGGACGTGTACGTGTGGTATTGATTGTCCGGCAGCAAGTCCATCCTACATGACCGATAACGATGTTCACGAAAAATACCCAGTTGTAGTTAGACTGTTAGATTAATTTTGTACACGGATATGGAATGGAATGTCGTTTTACACACCTGACAAGCAATTGTCAAACTGTCAGCACCATATGCTCGTTCGACGACGCGTCCGACAAGCTGTACGCTTGTGAAGAGCTCGCCGACTTCGCTTGATGACAAGTCGGATAGACGTGGAACGACGCGCGTCGGAATGACTAGCACGTCTGTCATACAATTAACACGTTACGAGCAATAGAGAGACAGAGAGTAGTCAAATGAGAAAACCACTATCCTATCAAGGGGTTGGTACGAAGACTCACGACCGGGAACGATTGGCTTGAGATTAACGATTGCGAAGGCGTGAGCGGTACGATAGAACGCTTGTCGGGTGACGTCAATTGTTGAGAACAGGAGCTTGTTCATTTCGTCTAATGTCTAGCGGCTCTAGCCTGTCCTGCCAGCGGACGTCTATTTGAGCTCCGTGGATAACTCAGATGAGATGCAGAAAGAAAGCAGTGCAGTGGACGTGTTACAGTATCACGAGTTTTCGTGACTGACGTGACCACGCACTTGGGGGGAACCTTGTTCGGAGCTTCCCAATGAATCTCATGTTCTCATGTATGCAATCTATTGTCTACGTACAGGCTCATTGTATGTCTAGTCCCGCCGAGCCGAGTATTACTGCATGACACACAGCAAACCTCATATACCAAACAAATGCACCAGAAATAACAAACTGTTCTTGCTGAGGATCTCCATCTGTGTATGTACTGGTAGACTTGGCTCCCCGAGAGTCGAGACTCCAAACTGGTATAATATCGGCTCGAATCACCTAGTCACCACGCGATGTTCTCCTGTTCGACGGTCTCGCACAACTACCGGCTTCTTCTTCTTTTTCTCCCTCTCAGTATTTTCTTTGTCATAGGATCGCGATGCTGTATCTCTATCAGCTTTTGTCCGTTCCCCACGTAAATTTGCTCGAGGAGCTGTAGCAAGGTGTGCCGATTCATATAGGCCACCACTGTCAGCACTCACGTACTGTTTCGTTCGCACTATAATTCCCAGTGGTCCCCTTTTCTCCTTGTACACTGGCACTGGCACTGGCACATGCGAATCGCTCAGAGGATTTCCTAATGTTGGCTCTTTCGATCCTCCAGAAGATCCGTCCGTTGGGGAAACCGTGATTACTCGCGCTCCAGGAGGAAGGCCTGACCAAGTTCCACGATAGGGTGTTGAAGGTGCTGAGGCTGCTAGTCAGATTACAGTCAATGTTATTACTAATGCCTGAATTTAAATAGTATATAACTAACTTCTCATGCGGAATAGGGCACGTTCTTTCATGTAATCCTTCAGCAAGGTTGCTTGGGCATTCAGCTAAATGAATTCTTGTCTTATCATCTCAGATTCCTTCTATTCTGCAAATTCGGACTATTACCTCGTTGAATCTCCCAGACATATCTACACCTTTATTCTTGGCTGATTCATCCATGTCTGGATGGCATGACAGGGCCTTGACATATCAAAGAGTTACTTGTGTCAGAACTTGTCACCAATAGGTACCAACCTACATACCAGTTTCCTTTTCTTACTATCAACATCATGCTCGTCATAATCGAATTCTTTGCCTTTAAGTTCGAATCTTTCCAATGCTACTTCAACCTTTCTTCGATACTCATCAGCATCCATGATGGAGACAGGAGACAACACTGAAAGATCTTGGTTGTATATACAAGAGCTGTTTCACATCACCTGTATCAAAATACTGTGCAATATAATAGAGCTGCAAAGTTGTATCAAAATTACAGATCAAATATGTTGTATTGCTCCAAGGGTTCTATACTTGAACCGTTGTCAAGCAGTCGCTCATGACGACAGCTTACTAGCAATGCCTCGTGTTCTAAGTCCAAGCCCAAGGCGTCATTCTTAAAAAGTGGTCATGGACTAAAAGTATTGTTAATGTACTTCGCCACAGGTGCAGTATGGTCATATAATTTTATATTTGTTGTTAATTTTGTTATAAATTATGGCCTAGCGCTTACATGGCTGTCTTTCGCGCATCGAGCGAGGCAAAATTGTCTATTTTTGTCAAGAGTATTTGTAAGCTTTCCCACATGTGCATAACCCCTTGACCTTTTTTTCGCGCTTACCCCAGTAACCCCACAGCTTTCAATGAGCTCCCTTCTGCTTCGAACTGGAATACAAACAAATTCTAAGGATAGATAACTCACCCCGTTGATTATACTTTACGCTGTTTCTTGTACAAACCGAGTTGCAAGTGCAATTAAACCTCGCGCTCGTGTTATACTTACTGTTCATATATGTACAGATATTCGAGGAGGATTGATTGATAATAGTCAGCACTTGTGCTAATGTCCATTTCCTTCTCCCAACATACTTCAACAAACATTCCCTACCATACTCGATCAGTTCGACTCATTTCTTCCTTACTAAGTAACGCTTCCTAGTTCGACGGTCCCGCTCTGTATGAGTGCCCCTTTCCCTCGTCCTTTCTTTCTGCGTCTCCGAGTCAGTATCATGATCCTTCCTGCTTTTTGTACCCAAGTCTGGTTTAGTCCATTCATCTTCTGGCGTATAGTCATCATGTACTGGTACCTTCACTTGTTTATTCACAATAAGCCCTGGTGCTACCTCTTTTCTTATCCAGACATATTTGTATTGACCGCTACTACTTGACAGTCTCGTATGAGATTTAAAAGAACTTGACCTCTGATCACAGCCTGGTTTCAGCAATTAGACTTTACTACATATTGTAGGACTTCTGCATACAAACCAGCAGGCCGTCCTGGTTCAGCAGTCAATATAATTGGGTCTATACAATCTGCTAATATGCGAGAGCTGCATCAGTTTGACTCATTTCATGTGATCCGAAAGTTTATCACATACTGTCATCATCATAATTCCCTTGCCTGTTGCGCCGACAAATATACTTATTTAGCAATTCTACCTGAGCATACATCTAGGCATAGGATATTAGTGTTATATTATTACCCTTTCCCTTTCAAAGGGGAAAGAAGAGGGGGGAAAGGAGTGTAGTCACTCGTTTGAATTTTTCATCATCTCCTTTGTTCTTGTCAGGATGATATAACGGTGCCTTGAAAAGTATCACTTAGGGTACTCTTCGTCAAGCGAAAAGAAAGGAGCGTACGAGCTCTTTTTTTTTTCGTTCAACGTCTTGCTCAGTGTAGCTGAATTCTGTTTCTTTAAGTCCGAACTCCAATAAAGCATCCTCCAGTTCTGCCCTTTCTTTTCGTGACATTTCACTACTGACCAGTGAGTCGGTTCGAATGCTGTAGATACTATTTGTTGCCCATCCGGCTCATGGAAGCTGACTTTATATTGTCCCAAGACGTCGGAAGCAGCAATCTGAACTACACAGACAGCAATATTACACCCTTCTTTAGGAGAAATTACTCTACCCCGGAATCAATACAGAAGCACATTATCGGGGATAAATAAATACCTTCCTTTCATGTAGCTAATGAATATATATATGTACATATTCGTTGAAAGCGTGTGCAATGTCTTCAGCAAATGCAGAGTATTTGTCCTTGTTGACGCAAAATTGGGCCCTCCCTTTGCTCCGAACCCATGTGCAACCGAATCACAAGAATAGATGAACCGAACTCTCTCGATTATACTGTACGCTGCTCATACATGTACAAATGTTTAAGGAAAGCAAGGTGTAAGCAGGGAAAATAAATAATAGTCAGCAATCGTGCCATCGTCTATTCTTTTCTCCCATCCATATTCCTACACTCCAAGGTCATCAGTAAGCAAAGAATCGATTAGTATTAGCATGGTGCATGTTTGGGAGGAACGTTGGAGAGACACGAGGAAATAGATAGCGTTGAAATTTCCGGAAGTATGTATATATTTGTCAGGCCATGACGGGGTCGAGTTGAACAGATTATATGACTTTTCGATGCTCCTATGTAACGGGATGATTGTCAAATTACTAAATTCATGGTGATATGTTCGATAAAAAAAAACCCCGCACCGGTGTATGTGTCGTTTCGTGGTCTACATGAACGAATGCTCGTCCAACATTCGGAAGGACTTCAATTTTGTCCTGCAGTTGCTGACTTAGATCGTGTGCTTTCCATAACGGTGTTTCTGCAGGCATCACAACGTCGATTTCGACGAAGTACTCTGGGCCACTCTGTCCAAATAATTTAGAATTTCCAAAGAATCAAAAAGCGGAAGATGTACTAACATGATATGCTCGTATGGTGTCAATTTGTTCTATTACTTCACTGAACGTCATTGCTTTGTAGGTTAAGAGCTTGATAAAATCGTGCGGCGCGCTTTTCCCTGCAAGCAACTCAAACTGTTTATAAATCGTCCTTGACCACGATGCGATTACCCCTGCAGCGATCTATTTGCAGGGGCTTTATAAGGGAATGAACATTCTAAATATGAGTATTACTCACGATAATTGCCCCCGCCGGATCTAGCCCTAAAAGAAAGACCAAATCAGACTATGAGACCGCCGGAAGCACGAATTTCGTACACCATCGCCATTTACTCCCACCAGCTGACATGAGCAACCCTAAAGGAAAAGCGTTAATTTTTAATCGCTACACGTGGAAACAATGCTTGTTTGTACGTACCAAAACCATTGATAAATAAATCGTTTCTGTGGTCTTCCCAGAGAACGTGAACTTGACTCGAGTTCTTCCTTATGCTATAGCAATAAATGAAAAGCAGAAGTTTCACGCCTAAATTGTGGAAATGAGTGGAAAGTACGAAATGCGGTACCGTGGACGTCAGTGGGAAAGAGTCGTCATAGAGTGCATTGCGTACCCAGAGCAGCTCCAACAGCGATGAGGGATGGGATATGGAACTCTTTTAGCTCATTGGATCCATGATCAATAATGGAATGCATGGATTCCACGATGACGACGAGATTGACCGAACCCATCCTTATCAACAATTATCAGGCCAAGGCTACTATTACAATCTGATAAGAGCTCCTACTCACAGGAATCCTGGAATAGAGTCGAGGTAAATAATCAGCATGAAAAAGTTCGGTAAAGAAGTAAATCTCGCAGACCGTAGACAATATTTCCTATAGTTTCAAGACGAGAGCCACCTACAGGCCATTTGTTCACGTCAAGGGAGTGAGCCTTTCTATGTATCCAGACAAGCATAACGTTTGAGCCAATGTCGAAGACGGAATCAATACCCGTCGCAAGTAATGACAATGAGCCGGAGGAGATTGCGGCATACACTAGACACGAAGAAGTGTAAAGAATCCGAGAAGCACAGAGAACTAAGCCTTACATTGCAGAACACAGAGCGCGAAATTGGCCAGAAGACTCGCCCAGACGGCGATTTTGACCTAATTTAATTAATGTGAAGCATACCGAGGCGAGGTTTCGAGTGGCCACAGGTAACACCCACCGGCAAGCGTGCGGCCTCTTCTACCTCCTTCGCCTCCTCAGTATGCTCGTCCATCGATTTGAGCAGGGATTCAATAAGCTGATATTTCTCACTTCAATAACAACCCCACAAAATACAAAGCTACAAGACAGACTCACGTCATTTTGCTCACGATGGAATCGCTCGAGCTTCCTGCCCTTCTTACGTCGCCGCAGCTCGTCAAGCTCTTCCTCAGTCTTGAGACCACTCTGGAACATTAGTGGATCTTCCTCCTTACCCTTCCCTTTAGTAACACCGCTCTCGATGTCAATAGACGCGTAAGGACTGCCTGAGGTGTCGTAAGAGCTGGACCGTCTGAGGTTGTCTGAGCTCTGCTGGGGCTAAATGGGGGACAAATCACATCAATGCCACGTCGATGAGGCAGTGGCGACTGAAGACATACCTTGTCGCTGCTGAGGTGCGAAGACGTGGCAGGCTGGCCGGCTGCAGCAGCAGACATGGACGCGGTGAGGAAAGGTGTGGACCCGCGCAAGACCCAGCAGAGTGGAACAGCACACTCTGGAGACTTTTGATCACGTGATTTGACCCGGCACTCTGGAGACTCATGCCTGGTGTACCAAGCCACTGGTACCCTATCCGGCAACACCGGTCCTCTTTATCATTTCTTTTAATTTCTCAACAGTGCTTCGGACGAGGTATACTTTCTACAGCCAACGCAGCTATGCTATGGGCTATTCTATACGGCCAAAGTAGAGCGCTGCACTAGTTGTGACAAACGTCCCCCGGTATCCCACGGCAGAATATCTGGGCATCTCTTCACTCCTCGGAAGTAACACAGTGCGGATGCGAATGCGGTCTTAGGACAAGGCTAGATCAAGCCAGGGCAGTCTTGGGAAGCGGCATGCTAACGCTGGCATGTGACTGGTGTAAAATCAAAAAAGCTACACAAATGGTGCGAGTGTCGGATATAAGAGGATATCATTTTGTTCCTTCGGACGCCCGCCCTCGTATTTTATTCGACATTTGTCACCGTCTTGTACGGGTGCCCTGCTCCGCCTAATTTGGAGGGTAAACTGCAGACGCCAAAGGCCAGGCTACATCTATCATGCAAGCGGACAAAGACTGCTAAACGTGTCGATGTGTCTTTTGATGAGCTTGGGAAAAGATCGTCACGGAAGAAAGTGAGGCCAGAGTCGTGATTCGGAGTACTCAGCACGCGAGCAGTAGGCCGCGTGATAGAGTGAGGGGTGGTTCATGGATTCGCTATGCCAGAGGTCGAAAAGAGTTTGCGATACGGCAACTTTTTCGCATCTCACTGAGAAGCACTCACACGCGAGGCCGCGCGCTCGCATGACGCCACCGTCGGTCGCTTTGTAGATGTTGCACGACTGGCTTATCACGTAGATGATGTTCTCACTTTATCAGATCAGATAAATGCCGTATCCACGATGGCCTTCCTTGTACTCGCGGTGAGCGAGAAGTCGGTGAAGGGCGACTTCGACTGGGGCGTTCAGCGAATAATGACAAGGATGCGCCCAGGACCTGAAAGAATTCATTGCCGCCGCGAACCAATAAAAGCTGAAAACGCGGGAGAAAACGTGACCCGCTCTTGTCGTAATTAAGCTCTTTGGACATAGAGTCCTTGTCTCGTCATGATCTCTCTGGAGTAATTTCCTTTAGTTCAATTGTAGGAAGAAGGCAAAAGTACAATTCATTATAACAAAGGTCCCGACGGAACTCCCTGGCCGACTGAGCCGAAGAAACTGTTAAGGACGGATTTAGAAAACAGGCAGTAAGAAGCGCCAAGAAAAACGTACTGGAAGTGGTCAATCGAGATGCCTTCGCACGGGAACTCTTGTCCCGTACAGAGCGCTGCCGCCACGCTTGAGTTCCGAAATTGAGTCAATTTTTAAATATCCCACTCCCACTCCAACAAACCGACACTACGAGATCATCAGCATCCGCGACATCCAAGCCCAAGAGAGCGGTACTTCGTGCATGCCACAAGTGAACGCTCAACCTCCACGTCGTGCACCTAACGTCTCCATCTCCCAGAGGTCAATGTCCGCCTCACTAGCACCAAGCTCGTGTCGGCGCCGCACACCCGCCGTATACACTCCGCGCGGTCCTACGACAGGTTCGAGACGAGCCGAGAGTACCGCTGCATCCCAAAATTCTCGGATCGGTCGAGTAATGCTTACGCCTAGACAGGAGGAAAGAAGGAGCCATAGGAAGAAGCAGGCACTGAAGTCGATAGAGAAAAACTCTGAGTCAATATTCACAACCTATTATGACGACGAACATTACTATTGAAACTATGAACACGAATATCGCAAGTGAGCTTATGCCGGAATCACTTGTGTTCATCGTTGAGGCTAGGTGTAACTAGGGTGACAGCGTTCGTTGAACTTCGTTCATTTTAAGATCGACGCCCGTCCATCACGTGACTGACGCGTCCCCGAGACGCGCGGAGTTTCAAATGACCATTAAGGGCTGTTGACCGCGAACACTACAAGTGATGACAGTTATGCATGCAGAAGTCTAGTGCTCAACGTGATTTATACTACGTCATGGCTCCATCATGGTTAGACTGAGACTGACTTCGAGGTGAGGGTCGGCCAGGCTGACGCTGTTACTACTGATTTACTAGTCTCAGACTGGCACTCTCTAGCCGGGCTGGCAGCATGCCTAGCCAATATATTTCCAGCCTCTTGTCTCTCGACTATCACATAACGTAGACCTAGCTTCCACGTCCCCTGTCTCGCGAGTTGATCTCCTGCGATTTGCCATCCACTCATCGCACAGTATTCGCGCTCTCTTGGCGAGTCAAGATGAAGTTGCCGACTTCTACTTCCTTCGTCATGGCTGCGACGGCATCGCTCGCACTCCAGAGCTCCGCACTTGTTGTTCCAGAGTCTCCGGTCATCGGACGTGCATCGCCTCACTCCGCGCGCTCAGCTGCTGATGCGCAATTTGCTGGACCCGCGCCTGAAATTGGAAGTCCCAGCCCAGCACGTAAGAGTACCTTCATCATCTTTTAAAGTATCTTGATTGAACAACATGTTTTAGCGAGCCGCAGTATCATGATGGAGGACATCACATTGCCAGGACTTGTCAGTACGGGATCAATCGGCGAGTTGACGAATAACGTACAAGATACTGTAGGTGGCACATTGGCTGCTCTCGGTATACGAGCCGACAAGGACGCAGATATCTCTGTGTCAGCGGCACACTCCAACGCCCCGTCTCTTGGCAAACGACAGGCTGCGGTCCCTATGGCTCCTCCAGGCGCTCCCGCTTCCGCAGGTTCCGAGACTAACGGTCCTAACCAGGCCATGAATAGTGTCCAACCACAGTCTAAGCCTTCCCCTCAGGCCAGCAATGTGAATAGTAAATTGCCGCAGAAGAGGGAACCACAGCTTCCAGCTTCCCTGGTGCCTTATCCTCAAATCCCTAATGCAGCCAGCGGATTCACCAACGGCGCTCCTATTCCAGGAAGCATCTCTGGAATTCCCGGTCAAGTTAGTGGAGGAACACCGGCCTCGGGAGCTATTGGTAATGTCGTAGGAAGCGGACAATACCTTCCAAACTCCGAAGGTATTGTAGGAGGGGTTACTGGTGGTCTTCCCGTTGTTGGTGGCGTGGTCGGAGGTGGTGTGAATCAGCTGCCCAATGGCCAGGGAGTTGCGGGTCAGATGCTTGGCAACACTCCTTTTAGAGGCGTCGCTGGTAACTTGTCCCCTGGCTCAATGCAAGGCAGCGTGGAAGGTGCCAACCGGCAACCTGGAATGGGCGCACAAGGCGGCGCAGCGCCTTTCAGTCTGCAAGGCCAGGCAGGACAACCCGATGCCGCCGACGAAGGAGCGGGGAATGGGTCTGCATCGCCGTCGTCGATAACTGCTACTCCGTCCTCGTCTCCTGCATGCACTGGCCAGACAAACCAGGCTTCGCAATCGACCACAGACTCCAGTAGCGCTAGTGCAACTCCTGTTATGGACATTGAATTTGCGCCTTCTGTTCCAGCACCGGTACCGAATACACCAACCAGTGGCCACCCGGTTCCGGACGGAGCATCAGTCCCCAGTCCCCCTGTTCAGCCTCCAAGTTCACTTCCGGTTTCACGTCCAGCTTCGACACCGACGTCACCACCAGTTTCAGCCCCAGCACCACCTGTCGCGCCTAGGTCGATCGCACAAGTCTTTCGGGATGCAGGTGAGCCTGATCATGTGCCTCCTAGTGCACCAGTCAAGCCACCATTCAGTGCTCCAAGTAGTGCACCAGTCAGCGCACCCGTACATCCTAGTGCGTCTGCCAGTGCTCCGGTACCAGCTCCTACTCAAAACGCACCGAAACCTCCGATGTTCATGAGAGCGAAACGTGCGTTGATGGGACGCGAGCCGCAGATGCCAGCACTTTTGTCCAACGATCCCACTCTTCCGAGTGGCTTCCCCGCACCGAGCTTGCCGATCCCGAGTGACATCCCTCCTCTCCTACAGTCCGGCGTGCCAACGGCTGTACCCGCGACAAAAGACGCGATGGATGCTCATTCCTCCTTGTCGCATCCCGTTTCGAACACGGGGACGTTTACCTCTTGTACTTCTTCTGATTACTCCCCCGCGAGTACAGCTTCCACGAAGGATAAGATGACGCCGTCGAAGTCGACCTGGAGGAGGCGCCGTTTCTTCCGCTTCAATCGTGACTAGATTGCTTAACTTCGACTTGAGTCATTTTATGCTACCACCTTCTTTCCCTTTTTCTTGAGGAGGTGTCTGGTGCCGTCTTCCCCTTCCAGTTTCCTTGTTGGCACTAGTTCCCATTTTTAAATATTTAGTAAACATATTGGCGTGCTTTGTATAGACCTTTCAGAATATATGTGTGTCCGAGTTTCCGTGTGTAATATACAGTCGCTCTCTGGGATTAGCGTGGTCTAGATGACGATCCAGTGGACGGTTTCTGAGGCTCTCGAATGAACTAATAGAACTATCGGGTGCATTTTCTACCGTGTCTGCAGTGTGATCCTTTGACTAATGTGCTTTAGTTTCATTTAAACGACAAACTGGCCTGTCTTCCTACCTACCAACTTCTGCCGAAGTCAAAGTGTAGCATCACCAAGATAAACATACACAGAAAAAAGGTGCGGCACGTTTTGCTTTCCACTGTCGTTGACACAACCAGAAGTATTGCTAGAGAAGGCAAGGAAGCTTTCAATAACCTCGGTTTGAATACCTCGGATGCTGCCGGGAAAGGCGTAAACAAAGAGTTCAAAATTTTACTTTTGGTTACAAGGAGCTCCTATGGCCTGCTGAGGTGTCGAAGGTGTCATTATCCAGAGTATTGCAACCCGCAAGCTAGCAGGCGGCAAACACTAACCAGCCAATAAGTCATGCTCACCATCGATGTATTTAAGGGATAAGAGTATAAGACGAGCATGCAAAATTGTGAGTATTTCTAGAATCAGCGTGCTACAACGAACGAGAGCAAGAGCTTACTACAAGGTGTTGCTGCATATGAGGAGGGCGTTGATATTCAAAGGAGTATGCCGTTAAATGTGACAAAGCAGGTCAATGCATTAACAGTGGTAGTGCGAATTCAACTTTCTGCAGCATTAGTATAGTTGTCGAAGGAAACAAAGTTTGACAAGCCTCAAATTAGCGTGATCGACGCGTCCCATTCGGCAAAATTTTACGCCATCTTTGGATGCTGCTCTGCTCTGAACGCTCAGCATTCCTGGTCTTGGATCTTGACTGCAATGACGAAAAGTGCTAAGAGCAAGAAAGAGAAAAATGCTGATTTTACTGTAAGCTATGTCTTGTCTTTAAACAATAACGTTTCTTACGAACCCCGCCCAGAAACGAAGGTTGAAGCTTGGGAAGGGGAAGCAAGCTGCGAGCAATGCAGTTGACACTTCGTTCAAGGCGCGATGTGAGCATTACATACATTTTACTTGAGTATACCTACGGACCAATCCTCAGCTATTGCTTTGCCCCAGCAGAGTATTACAATCTCGACGGGATCTTTAGAACCTACAACGAAACGAAGGCTTACCCTGGATGCCTTGCTAGCGCATTTGAGGCACTATGCAGCGGGCACACGCAGAGGTTCGCAGTGCTTCATTTCAATTGGGAAAAAATATGGATTTGCAGTGTATAGATGCATTACATGGGCTGCAAGAACTGCTGGGAGAACACAGTGCGCTCATTGAGCCGAACTTATCAAAATTAGTCAACGGTTGTGTCCGCCTGATAAATGACGAGGTGCGTTAAGGACTTCCTGCCCCAGTATTTATTCCTAAAGGCGTGTAAAGGATGCGTCAGTCCGCAGATCTCTGCACTCATTACTAGCATGGCTTCTTCCTCGAATCCCTCGAGTGCGTCAGACCGCTATATTTTCACGACACTTCATCTAATTTTTCAACCCAGGAACATCTCGTGCCACACGCTCCGACCCTGCTCCTTTTCACTGCTTCCGCTCAATCACACATATTCCCGGAGATAAGAATTGATGCGATAAGCATTATAGACCTTCTGCTTGGGGTGATTCCGGAGCAGGTAGTGGCAGGGTTCTGGAACGACAATACGGGCAGAAACCAGGACTATCATGGACGGAAGGTGCTGGACGGGTTCCTTGGCCTTCTGAACATAGGCACAAGATTCAATGAAGATGAGACCAAGTCGTCCAGGTCGGTACCTGATGCTGAACGCCAAGCAACAACTGCCGTCACGCTGTCGATCTCGGTAAGTAATAGCGGCTTGTGCTAGTCACCAGTAATCTAAGTTGTGGGATTTGCAGTCAAAAGCGCGCATTTTGAAGTCGTTCTCGAGGTTTCTATTTCACGCATTGCAGCAACCGTCTGAGCACGGTTCTGTTGCGGATCTCCAAGGTAGAGACACGATACCTCTTTGGTACCTTTCTGGATCATTTAAATCCCATGAGGCATTTCTTTCATTTGCCAACCTTCTTTCTCTACGACGATCGAACAAACTAGCTCATCGCCGAGATAACGTACAATCATACGGTGACGGTACCGACTTTTATGGGCACTTTCCTCTATGCGACATTTCGGAAAATCAGAATGCACCGCTTAACCTCGTGGATTTGGATAGTGCACTAACAGATATTAACAATATTTCTCGTAATGAAGCTTCACCAGAGGGTTTCAAGACCTCCCAGAGCTGGTTACTTATGGTGAGGTCTAGTTCATGAAAGTTGTGCCTGCCGAGCTAATCGTACCGCGAAGTCACTTTGCCGGACAATCCACCCCGTGCTGGTGTCTTCGCTCCTCGATGCCGCCCCATCTGTATTTTCACCATCCCAAGCGAGCCCCGAGACAGAGCTTGAGCTCACTAGCTCACTGCTGGAAATCGCTCGATCCTTGTACGGCTGTTCTCTTCGAGATAATAGTATCGTAAGTGCAATCTTTTTGCGTTTATAGTTATGAACTGATAATTGCATTGCATAAAAGTCATCGGATCAAAAGCAAGCTGTCCTGAACGACCTAAGCATATTCGTTGCTCACATGTTCCCGTACTTTCCTTTCGGCGAGAATCGGATGTTTGCACCAGAAATAAAGGTGTGTTTCATTCATTCGTTCTAAGGAAATATGGATATTAACATTCTTCCCCAATCCGTTCAGTCGGAAAATGCCTTTCAACAGATGAACCTCATGTATTGCGAGCTCTTCTCACTTCAGACGCTGGATCATACCTTGGATCTGAGTCCGCGGCGAGAATCTCGCGGGCCAACGGCGAAGCGACGAAAGCTTGACCCGCAAACAAAGAAAGCAAATTCTTCGACTGGAACAAGCAACGGTGCGGATAAACAAGCGAAGAGGGTACGAGAGTTCGTCGTTCGATACCTTAGTGGGTCACCGAGCTCAGGAGCAAGTGCGACTCTGCACCCGCTAGGCCATGCGCTCACAGCGCAGACGTATACCGCTCTTTTACCGACACTTTGGTGGTTAATCAACAGCGAAGGTGATAACTCCGATATTCTAGGAGCCGTTCTACAACATGCTATGAAGGCGGGTTCTTCTAGTGGTGTAAAGCCGGTCGCAACGGAATTCGTCGGGCGACTCGTCATGGTTAGTGATATTGTATTTGCACGCCTCCAGTTAGTAATGTCTGCCATTCTTTTAGCTTCAAAGTGAGCGAGCGTACCAAGGGGGAGGGTCGTTCAGAGTTGGAAGCCTCTTGCATGAAGACTTGCAGAAAGCCTGTCAGAATTGGTTTTGTCATTTGCCCAAGGTACTCTGGGAGCTTGGTGATAAGAGTCCGGCCACCATAGAGGTTAGTTAAAGACCGAGATTCTTTAGGGAGTCCCGTGCTAATTTTGTTTACTTGTAGCTAATTTTGCTCCTCATCCTTCGACTGAGGCAACGTCGATCATGGATAAACAATGACGAGGTGAAAACCAAAACCAACAATTGCATTTGCATTGAAACTTATCGACCTTGTAATTTTTACAGACCCTTGTTTCCTTCTGCTCCCGTCTAGTACCCTTCTTTACAGTGCAACACGCTACTCGCGGTGAACTTCGTGGTCCATATACACGGATAGGTGGAACCGCGGTAGAACCAGGGATCCTGCCAGGCCTTTCGGACCCGAATGGAACAAGACAACAACCCGGCCCGACACCTCTCAAAACCCTCGCCCTCGATGTTGCATCGTCGTTAGTCTCGACTATACAAACACGAAACGATAGACCCCGGAAAATGCCTCCGCGGACGGGCGGGCGGGCCGGTGACGTTCACCCTGCTCGTTCAGGAACTGATCCGGTTTCGGTGTCGGAATTGTCGGCATCAGTGGTGAGCGCACAAGCTGCTCTGCGATCTGCTGTGGACAAGGCTGTTTCGGGCACGACGGAGGAGGCATACTGGCTTGGCGTTTCGCGTTCACAATGACCTCCGTGACTTACCGATCTTGCGATGTATTTTATTTGTCTCGGACGATTAAAGTATACTTCGGTAATGACCATATTATGCACTGGTGGTTGTAGATGCATGCCTGCGCGTGTCCCACGGTATTGCGTCGGTAAAGCCCTTGCTCATTAATCTTCATTTATATCAGATCTTTGTTTCCTGTCCGAGGCTCGCAAAATGATTGTTCAAGTGATCTAAGACACGTATGCTATGCTTTAAACTTCCGGAATCGTTGCTCAGTACTTCCTGCCTGGATGTTTACCGTGCCATGCTCGTTGATGTGCCTGCGTGGTAATTTGATGCCAATCAAACACGTGACGTCACAAAAGGAAACTTTGACGATTAGTCTTCTCCCGTGAACTGGGACTGATCAAACTCTCTGCCTCGCTTGCTTTATTTCCGTCACGAGTGCATCGCGGGATCATCTTCACTCTCTGGAACTGTCTGTCTATTACACCTTTCCTGTCGTTTCGTGATCATCCACGGGCAAATTTCGTCAGCTGTTGACATGAAACTGAGTAAACTCCACTGGAATCAGCTTCTCTGTCTAATAGTCAATACTGTTCCTACGTCTTTGTGGGCGTCAGCGCGCGATTACATCGCTCATTGTTAAATAAACCTCGGATCATAGTACACGAGCGGCTGCGCATGCCAATAGCCTGGCGAGGTGGATTAGATACATTCGACAAGGTGCGCTCGTGATGTCGCCTCGGAGTTCCTTGATGGCAAAATAGAATGTGAAGCGGCCGGTAATCTGTCCATCCCTCACCTGATCTTAAATTGTGACTAAAGATTAATTTAACAATAATATGTCGATGAAAAGCAATCTCCGAGAGGAGATATTTTGGGCACGGCATTCAATATACTGTGCACACGTCGATCCCCAAGCTCCACGAAACGTCCGCCTCGGGATATGCATGTGCAAAATAGGAACACGCACTGAATTAGACTCTACCTCTAGCTGAAGCACTTGATGGTTACTGGGGAAACACGAAGTCTAATCCATGACCCTTCAAACTACGGAGCCGTGCCACCTGATTTCCCTGTGCTTCCGTATCTCCATCCGAATCTTAATCATAATGTAATTTCGTCGACGACATGCAATTTTGGTGCTGCTCTATCTCTAGCTTCCGCTCAATCTGGGTTCGTATCTTTGCTGTAATGCAAGAGCTTCTTGGACGTCAGGTGCGAACCCTTTCGAATCTTGAATCTTTCAGATGACATTCCATGTCATGATATATCTTTGTTCTCCTGCTTCTTTTCTCTCAGCAGAGCGGGATTCTGACGAGACATCATCGCATTTGAGTAATGAGCGCAAACATGGTAAATTTGATTTCCCAAAGGGAGGGATTCCTCGCTGTAGAGTTCCAAATGCTTTAAGCTACTTCGGACATCGCAAATATGGCTAGCAAGGCTGGATACGAGCAAGTTTGATCACCAACCGGACTTGTCTACATGCCTGTGCTTGCAGCAACAAGGATGCGAAATGCCAGAGAAATGAAAGATGGCGATGTACATAATCGCTTCCGGGCTTCTCGAGCCGTTGTGGGTTGTAAACGTGGGCAAAACCCCAAGCCGACTTTGCTTGCGGTCGGGATATATCACTGATTCCCTCTCAATTGATCTGGTTCCCATACTCAGGTCAGGCAGAAATAGTGTGTAAACATGCTTAGGATGAGCTGCGGCGGACGGGCTGTGTGCTTCGCTTCAGTAGCACAAACTTCATCATTGCTGTGGTTCCAGGAAAGGTGTGTCATCGTCTTCCGAGACGAACGTGTGCGTAGATAGCGCGTCCAATCGGTCGTAGGACGATATCAATGCTCCAGAGGGTGCTGCGCCGTTTACCTCCGTGCAGTATCCCGCCAATAGACCGTCTGGACCGTCGCGTACAACGGCAATAAACTCGTTCATTATCGAGTGGTGCTGCCACGCGCCAACTTTGAACATTGTAAGCAACCTGCAAGGCCCCAGGTACGGTACGGTACGCTTATGAGGTCTTGCGGGCGGTAAAGCAGAGAGCGGGCGATTTAGCGGCAGGAGAATTGATCTAAAAGGGTAAGGAGTCCGAAAGTGTTGTTCGGGTAAGGGTCCTGCCTTGCTTCCTTCCTGTGCTGCGCAAGACACACCGCCCAGCAAAAAATGAAAAAGCGAGATGATCGTAACACAAGCGCAATACTTTCTTGTGTACTTACATCATTAGTCGTGATTTCTGTGATTTGCAAAAGTAGACAAGAAGAAAAAAAAGGAAAAAGAAAAACCCTCTCCAGATCAAAAAGTGCTCCGAGACGTTGCAGTTATCGCTTTAGCTCCCTTCGGTAAGACGGGCTGTTTCAGTGGAGCCTGAGTTACTCCTCCCTTTTCCCCCTTGACTGCCATCTGCTCTCTTCTCCGTACACTTTTCTTCGGTGTCCTGTTGTCATTCTCGGTTTTTGAGCTTGAAGGAGCTGGCGAGACGGTCTCCTATATTTTCCGTCCCTTCCCGTTATAGTTCAAACGCACATTGACATTAGCTACCCGGAGGCTAAAGTCTAACTAACTTCTATTGCGAACGCGCCCGTCATTTTAGCTGCCTTTACGCGTGCTTATACGCGATCGACGGTACCGGAATACTGCAGGTGCAAGTGCAGGACACTGCTGAAGGCCGATCTTGGTTCTGGAGCGTCTCTGATTTGCTGGACTCTACATTGACGGGTGCAGAGAGAAGATAGACGGACCAATTGATTTCTTGCTTCGTGCGGTGATTTGAGGGGAACTTCGCGGGATAGATTGGACAGATTGGTCTGATTGCGTCGCTGGACCCATCTGCAGCTCATCAGCAAATGCCATTTATTGTGCACGCTGTCCCGGATGCCCCCAGGCAAACAGGCACCGATATCCTGAGAGCTGGACGGCATCAAACGGTACGTGCGGTATTAGAGCTGGAAAGCGAACTTTCTGCTGACTCTTTGATCGACACCCTCATCCCCCCTCCCCTCGTTCTTGCATACATCCGTCCCTCCATTTTCTCTTTATCGATCCTATATCCCATACATTTCTTTATTGTTTTATTTCACATTTCAAAACCCCTCTTTTTTTTAAAAAAAAAATCTGGCCATTCTCCACACGTTATCGCCACTCATTACTTGTTAACACCACAGCTATACGTACCGGGGTCTTCTTATAGCCGTCACGCATATAACAAGTCAGAAGGCGCTTCGCCGACATTTGGCTCAGCTAGTACAGCTAGTACAGGCAGTGCAACAACCAATAACTTCGTGCTTGGCGCGGAGATAGACGCAGACGACTCGCAAAATCAAACCTACCAGCCGATCGCACTCACACATTCGTTTGCATACGAGGGTCCCCAACGGGCTCGAACAATATCGTATCCCGGACCGAGTCACCGCCCGACGAGGTCTCTTTGCACTACGTCGACCGAAGCTCAAGCTCAAGGCGGGCTTCTTCCATTGTATAGAACATTCAATCAGGACAAACCTCTCCCGTTATTGCCACCGCCTTCTCCGCATTCGCCATTGCGATTTGAGGAGGAACGAGCTCGAACACCGGGACCGATTGAAGAAAGCGGGAGTAGAAGTATGAGCGTGGGTGTGGGCTTATGTGAAGATTCGAGGGTGAATGGGAATGGGAACAAGATGCACAGAGTCATTCAGCGGTGTTCGGAATTGGAGACTCAGGAAGCGAGCTTGACGGAGCGAGCAGACGTTTCACTTGGATCATGGCTCGACGACGAGCGAGCATATGCGTCGGGGCACGACGATCGGGACAGTTTTCTCGAGGGCGCCGATGGTGAGTCCAGACTCCGAGATTGATGATTATTCCTTTTGTTTCTGTTTTTCGCGTCGGGAGCCGTGACGGGACGTCATAAACATCGTCCGAGCGGTCGTCATTTTCCCCGTGAGGACTTGCCTGTGATCAGAGAAAATATTGAGCGAGATACACTACCGTTCCCGGAAGCGGTAAGAAAATGGGGGGTTCCCTTGACGTGGGAAGAAGCATTTGCATCTGCATGTCACGCGCGTCACGCTTGTGTCACCTCGCCCCCATCCCGTCCAATTAATTCCCGTCCCCGTTACATCTCTCGCTTATTTCCTCAGCACACGCCTTTTTACCTCTTCCTCCATCCGCACCCACTCACGATCGTGCTCGCTGCACGCACAACGCCCAGCACGCCCCTCTTCTTATTCTCGTGCTGTCGGCTTCCATAGACGACGTTCACCACGCCGACACCGACGCGTTGGTTTGACATCTGTAATTTGCCTGTCTGCTTACTTCCACACGCGCTTTCTCTAGATCTTGACGACTACTTGAGCCGCCCACCACTTCCGCCTCCCGTTCCCCAATCATCGACGTCGGCTGTACGGCCTGCGAGACATCCACGTCCTTTGGTTCCGTCAACGGCTTCGCTTTCCCCCTCAAGGTCTTCAGAGCACATCCGGGACCAACTTGAATTCTTTGGCAAGCCGACACCAAATACTTCCGTGCCGTCTACAATTCCGAACATGACTTCCTATAAGCCGCAATCCATGCACGCGGACAGCAACGGGTCTCTCTCAAAAGTCGTTCCGACGCGTCCGGGATCTGAAGGAGATGGTCTTTTTGACGATGTCGCGTACTCGCAATTTGCTCGTCAGCCAAAGTTCGATCCGTCAAGTTTTCCCGACCCTTATCCTCACGGCCTGTCCTACCATCAAACGTCAACGGGGACACCTGCGCTTTCTTCTGCAGGTTCTTCGTCTGCATCGACGCGTTCTTCTGCATATACTAACCCTGGAAGCACGATTTCCGCAAGTGGGCACTCGGGCGACTATAGCCACGTGCGCGTCGCGTCTGGTGAGGACTTCGATGGCGCCGGTGGAATAGGCACCTTCGGGAGTATGATAGGCATTAACACAACCGGTGGGGTGTATCCAAGCGATTCAGTAGTTGAGAAACTTGCTGCGCGAACGTCGGCGGGCTCGTCGCTATCATCCGGTTCACGTAAATCTCATGGGCACTCGCACGCAGCGCACGTGCCGCTCCCGCGGATGCGACATCCTGGCCACACCCGGACCTCGCGTTCACCCTCTCAGTCACAGCCGGAGGACTTTGCCGCGCCTCCAGTCCCACAGGAACGCGTCGATCGTCCGTTGCGTTCGCAGCCGAGTTACGACACGTCGTGGCAACGCGTCCATGAGGAATTCGGCACAAGCGAGGAAGAAGATGAGTTCGGACAGCCGGAAGAGGATGATGACGAAGAACAGGAAGATGAAGAGCCACCGAGCTCAGCTATTGCCATTGTAGAGGAAGGCCGAGGGCATATAGTTCATGGAGAAGGAATGCCCGTCCAAGCATTGGGCATACAGCCAGGTTTGTGATATGCGGCTTCTGCCCGCGTGGCAAGTGAATTAGAAAATGTATTGATTAACATTCGTGTTTTAGGCATCACGCATCTACTCGTCGGAGGTTCCAGCACACCAAATTCAGTGCCGGCCTTCTTAACGACGACGCTGCCTCAAATTAGCAACACACTTTTGGCCCTTGATATTTCTGCAAATTTCCTCGTCTCTCTGTCACCTGCTTTGGCTACATGTGCCTCGCTCGAGGAGCTCAATATCTCCGCGAACCCGCTCCGAGTGCTTCCCGAATTCCTCGGTCAGCTTACGTCGCTCCGACTGCTACTTGCGGATTCCACGAGCATATCCTCGATACCGGCGCCCCTTTCGGCGCTCGAAAAGTTACATACTTTAAGTATCAGGCGCAACAAAATGCACGCTCTCCCCAGTTGGTTGTGCACCCTGCCGTGTTTGGAAAGTCTCCTGGTTGATGGTAACCCATTTCAAGGACCTTGGAATGCCTTGGTCGAGCCCCTTTTAGCAAAAACACCGACGACACCCGCATATCCCCCTTCAACGCCCATGATTTCACAGCTTTCGGCTGTGTCTACTTCAACATCGAACACAACCACGGTTGAAACAAGTGACGTATCGGACACGGAGGACTATACAGACCAAGACGATTCCAACCCTACCGGTCCTTCTTCTGCACTAACGTCCTCCTCCCCTGCCCTGCCAGCGTCCGGTGAAGAAAATCTAGAAGACGATACCATTACTCCCGCGCACGCGCGTCTTCTAGAACGGTCCGCGACATCGCCATCCCCACATAGCCCATCATTCGCGCCACCACATACACGTCCACTCTCGCGCAATCGCACTGCACCCAATCGCACATATTACGAGCGCGTCAGACAGTCCCGTTCGGAATTGGAGGGTGGCGGACCAGCTTCGCCAGCACCCCTCGGTGGAGCACACCGCAGTAACGATTTGAACCCTCCAGACACAGACGAGACAGCCCTTGGCTCGCTGGGCAACATGCCGCAGAGAGACCTGCGTCGTATGCGCAGTGCTGATGAGCTGCGGCGCGCAATGTCGCCTGTCGGTGGCGCGCCAACGAGTGCTCCCTTGTTGTCGCCGCCCGCGTCTCCTCCGCGGCCCGCGCTGCATCATTACGCCACAACATCCGGGACGGCGTCCGGTTTTGGTGAGAACGTGGATGGTATTTCGCAGCAGAGGCGCTTCGCGAGCCTTAATGTGCACGCGCGGTCGACATCACGCGCATCCATGCGGCCCCTTGTGCAGAACTTATTTGGTGAATCGGCCCGTGAGGACGATGAGGACGCGGATGTAGAGGGTCCGCCGCGTACTACGTCACGTGCTCGTGCTGCAACATCAATTAGCGTGTCTCGTGGAGGTCGCGACGAGGATTATGAGCGGTCGATACATCAAGTGCTCGGGAAGTCGCGGAAGGAGAAGGATAAGTCTAGCAAGAAGTGGGGATTCCTGAAGAAAATGTCGATGGGCAAGCTCAGGTCGACGGAAGGGGTTGCGTCTGGCTCCGGAGCTGCATCTGCCCCTTCATCTACACGACCTTCGACCTCCTCAGCCTTGGCGGGTCCTACTTCGGGAAGGTCGATGCCGGCAGCCGCTTCTGCTTCTGCGACACCGCGCCAGCTTACTCCACCGCAAGTTGAAGTCGCTCTAAGTCCATCAGAGCCAAATAACGCTTCTCCGGGTATCGCGTCGCCGCCACCGTCTTCGTTCGTGACAACTAATTTATCGCGCAATACATCTACGGACAGGCTTAAACTCGCGTCGCCTTCGACGCCTTCGTCTGCCAGTCTTCTCGTTCCCCCTTCCCCTATGGCAAAGTCTTCGAAGCGTCGAAGCTTCCTCCCTGTCGACGGACCGCCAGCACTTAACATCCCGATACCAAGCACTAGCTCATTCCTAGGCGGGATAACGGCTACAAACGGTTCCGAGGATCAAGACGACGCGTCGAGATTACAAAGCCCATCTCCGGCTGTTGAAAGTCCATTAGAAATGCCAAACCGGGAGGAAGAACGGAACCGAGAGGCCAACGCACGGGCGCTGAGATCCGTGATGGCTTACTTAAGGGATATGAATGATCTCACGCTGCTCAGTCAGGGCAACACTCTTAGCATGTACGGCGGCGGACCAGCTTCTCTGATGGACCGCTCACGCAGGCCCACGCTCGCTGACAGCCAGCGTATGGCCTCGGAAGCATCTATGGACTCAATTGACACAGCATCGTCTATACCTACGACAGCCTCAAGCCATTTACGCTCATTGGACTCGCTGAGCGCGAACAGAAGTGGGTCTCTGAACACGATGAGCGTTGCTACATCAGATAGCGGTGGGTCTGGCGGGGAGGAGCGGAAGAGCAAGGATGACCGCGGAAAGCGGATAATGATTGTTCGCGAAATTGTAGAGTGAGTGGCGCGCTCTTTGATTTCCAGTTTCACCCACTTATCCACTAATGCACCCGCTCGCCACTCTCACAGAACCGAGCGTACATACGTGAAAAACTTGCAAGATCTTGTGGACATCTATGTCCGGCCCGCTGCAGCGCCCGTCAACTCGATTGGAAATGTTGCCTCATCGAGCAAGGAGACTGTTGTGCCTGCGTCAGAACGCAAAATCGTTTTTGGTGGTTTGGAGGCGCTCTTCACGTTCCACAAGGAGAGCTTCTTCCCTGCACTGGAAGCTGCCGCTGCACCATTGCTCACTGCTAAAGGCGCGGCTGCCGATGCGGACAGTGACGGCAAGTTATCATTAGAGGTTGCAATGTCCGTCGGGCGCACTTTCGTCGCACATGCGGCGTTCATGAAGATGTATTCATCATACATCAAGTGAGCTTATTATTACCTGTTCTGATATCAGAAGGATGCTAATTATGCGGCTATTCAGCAACTTCGAAAATTCTGTTGCAAGGATCCGTCAATGGGTTTCAGATCGTTCAGGCACGGGAAGCACTCCAGCCTCTCTTACGCCTTCATCGAGCACCGTACAGCTCGCAAATGTTGGGTTAGCAATGTCGGCTATGGCTCCAAATTCAGGCGTACACGACACGGCGTCGGGAAAGTCTCAACAACTGACATCAAGTCAACGGAAACGCATCAAGCATTACTTGAAGCGATGTCGGATGAATCCCAGGCATTCACAGCTGAACCTTGAGGGCTACCTTCTGCTCCCTGTACAACGAATACCTAGATACCGCCTTCTGGTACGTGTTAATTGCACGAGATGAAAAAATATGACGCTAAATTACGTTTACAGCTGGAAGATCTTACTAGATGCACCCCGCCTCCAGAGACATACGACGATCCCCTTGATCGGGCCCTAACCGAGATCTCCTCTCTAGCGACGAACATGAATGAAGGGAAGCGGGAGGCCGAATCTCGGAGGAAATTGGTAATGTGGCAATCTAGGATACGCGGTAAATTCCCTAGTCCGCTTGTTCAGCCTCATCGGTGAGTAGGAAAAAAACCCCCGAGGGCCGTTTCAGATTGTTTGTTCTAACGGACTCTTCTCTATAGACGGTTAATCATGGATGGGAAACTCCTTTTAACCCGGATTGTTCGAAAACAAACAATGGCGTTCGAGGTGCTTGACTCTCACGGCGATGCTTCGAGTGTCGCGGTTGATTGTTTGGCACCTGAATTGACTCCGCGTCCCCTTTATGGTATCCTGTGTAACGACTTATTTGTGCTCTGCCGTGATCCTTCGAATGGGCAGGATCCCAACGCCGCGGTTGATTTGTGGGCTGTGCTTCGAATGCAGACGATGCCACAGCCGACCTCCATAGTACACGGCAACAGTGCGCTTACTTTCTTCCATCTCTGCATACATGATATTTATGTGTATTGGTGCCTAGCTCTGCGAATTGTTGACACCAAAGCGATTCTATACTTGGAGGCGCCATCTACGTCGGAAGCTTTGACATGGTTCAGAGGTAAGCAACCCCTTTCATTTGATTGAAATCTTCCTCTGATTTCATTGATGCATCATAGCTATCAACATGCAAGTCCCATCACAGAAGCTCGATGCATGACCTCCTGTCTCCTCGTTTTCTTCTCGTGCTTCAACGGTTTTCCCTTTCAATCGTGTCACGGTGACGACTCGCTGTTTTCCTCTCTTCCCGATTTTCTGTTTTCCGTGCGTTTTGCACGACGGGCGTCACCCCACTTAGTCGTTCCTTTTGGATGCCCTGTCACGTTCTCGCGCTCGTTTACTCTGTCCGAATCCACTCGTTTCAGTCTCTTAAGAATACCTTACTGTATCAAAAGCGTTTGTCTCTTATTCTCCGCTCACTCATTTCTCGTCTCTCCTCTGATCTCATCGTCTCTCTTTGCATTCTCGCATCTGCATTCAATGGTACATTAGAACCACCCTTCGAATCATTCCCTCCCTTTATTACCGTCTAGACTGACTAAATAATTACGCTAGTCGTAATTCTCTTCCTCTCTTTTTTCCCTCTCCGTCACCTTCTTCTCTCCCTTCGTATCCTTTCATGTTTTCGTTTTCCCCATTGATTCTTCCCTCTCATTCTCATTCTCACTTTCTTCCGTTTCTACTCTCTTTATGCGTTCATTTCCTGAAATCGGATGTGGGGCCAGTGAACTGCGTCGCTGCTGTATGGTCATTGTAATATGTACTAAATTAAAGAAATTACGGGAATCTCGTCATTCATTTAGCAGGCGTTTCGACATAATTGGTTATTCAGCGAGGTTAAGTCTCACTCTAAGAAGTCCCCAGTGCACCTTGCTAGTCGTTAATACTATTTAAATATGTAGTATTTACTGGGACACTTACCAGTCTACCCAGGGACAAAGTTGGCCCACAAAGTAGAAAGGAGTAACTATTAGAGTAATGGTCTCTGCAAGCTGCATCCAGCTCTTGGAGTGGTCATACAGAGAAGCTCCTTTTAGAGGAAATCTGCTTCCTTCACCTGTAAAGTACTTACAGTCAGTCAACTAATACATCCAGCTGCTAGTGTGTGCCAAGTCCTAACACTAAAACATGCTATTTGGATTGCAGATTCTGCTTTGTCATACATATTTGACTCATTATTATTTAGGAGATTTTGTTTACTGTAATAATATCATTATAATCTATCAAGGATGTTGTGGGAGGTGATGATGAATGCTATGACACTTTGCATTTCTTTATCTTGTTTTTAATGATGAAATCTGCTGACAAATGACAAATCGAGCATGAGCAAAAACACAGAACATAATTCCATCAGTTACTTTACTAAAAGTGTACAGACATTATGCTAAAAGTAAGAATACAGAAAGATGTCCAGTTTCTCTCTCTTGTTCTGTACAAAGTGTATGTGTATTGAACTATAAAAGAAGATATACTCATGTGCTCAGTATACAACAGACACAACAACTGACAGCTACAGAATTACACAAATTATGTTTGGGTCACAACATTTGTCCAAGAAAGATGGATCCCAAAGCAGTCAGGATTGTGATTATTTTAATGTGTACACTGAAGTGACTGAACGGGTAATGATGTAATCAGAATGAATAGGTTAAAAAGGAGCTCGGAGAATTCAGCAGGAAGCTTGAGTAACAGAAGACTGCACTTTCGAAGCTTGATTGTAATAGTACCCTTGAAGGAAGGTTGAACTGTATAGAGGAAATGGGAAACGTCAATAAGCTGATGCAGGATATTGACAAATGTGCTGAAGATAAAAAGCTATATACATCTCCCAGTTACACAAACTGTAAAACTTACAGATCAGAGACTTAAATAGCAATGTCTACTTTGAATGTAGTGCTTGAATAGCATGTTGATTCTGAAGTTGAATTATACCTGCCATAATTCTCTGTCTTGTGAAGTCAGTGAAAGCTTTGCCCTCGGAAATTCATTTCTACAAGGCATAGAAATTGTCAGATGAAAGTCTCTTGTAAAGGTTAAATCCTTGTGACTAAATTCAGATTCTAGATTGCACTGGCATCGCAGCACAGTTCAGAGGTGGATGCCTTTACCCTGTTGACCGGTCATGCTTCCTTTGGCAGGGCTATCAAGACATTTTCCATTTTCGGGAAGTCATCCATGCAGTGCAATGCGTGCATAGTCCTGGTTTGATGGATTACAGTAACAGAAAATGAAATATATAAGCGTTTCGAGAGGGAAATGTAGAAAATAATCTACTGTGGCAATGAACATACTGTAGTAGCGCGTATGCATGACGCCTGTATCCTGGGAAGTTGGAATGAATTTGCAAATAAATACAACCCAATGCAGTAAGAGTCAGTGGATCAGTTGTCATACAGTAACTAAGGCAGTTGTGTTGGAGTTGACAATCTTGCCACGTTAGAGGGCAACGTAGATCAGTCCAAATGTAGGGCTAACGTATAGATTAGGTTCTAGGGAAATCCATTGACTAAAGGCAACCTATTTGGGCATGGGTTCACATCAAACGTTAGAATCAATGCTCTCCGTGGCTTAAATCACTTCTGATGACGATGGGGAGACCATTCAAGTCAGTATTGGAAGGACCTGTTCGTCAAGTTAGAATCATAGTACGTACTGCAACACTGATATGATCGGATTACCCCTTTGTGAAGCCCAGAATCGCCGAGTCCGATCAAGCCTGAGACTTCTATCTGTTCAGGATGATGATGGTCGCGAATAGACTCTACTCATCATCATCGCACGTTTCTGCATAACCACTATCAGAATAGAACCTAGATCTTGCTGGAGTATATGCAAATGCATCGATGCCCCTACCAAACCCTTAGACTGTGCCTCTATTCTTGACCAGCGACGACATCTCTCTCGCATTCCCCGGTGGAAGGAGACGAGTAGGCTCCGGAGCTAGTCGGCCATATCTCACTCTATGGCGCCTATAGGTACGAATGCACACGGAGATCCTGTACATCTTCACAAGCCTCACAACTTTCTTCTGCATGGGCCTTGTTCTCGCACTTAGCAACCCAGTATGACTTGCAGAGTCTGATTCCAGTCTGGCTCACCTTGCACATTGCTGGAGGCCAAATCGGTCTTCCGATCATAGTCCTTACATTCATTTTCGGTCCCAAATCTGCAGGCAGGCAGAGATATGTTACGCTCATTAACTTTTGCATCACTTGGATCATCTATTCCGTCGTATATTGTATTTTGTACGTCTGGGATTCTATTTTCTTGTTTAAGAGCATGGCTGAATGATACCAACAGGTTGTATTCTGGCCAAGCGGGAACGAACCAGGATGGCCCATCCAGCTTATGCTTGGCCCAGGCAGCATTGATTCATGGAGCTCCTCCCATGTAAGTGACGCTCAAACTATCACCGTATCACACAGGTCATGACATTGCTCTAGGTGCGCAGTGGCTGGCCTGGAGATGGTCCTTCAGGTAAAATAACCTCCGTTACTTGCTTCTATCCACTGATTTCATCCTAGCTTTGGTTCGTGCAAAGGTGCATCCATAGGTCGAGCTTTCCATACATTTGGAAGCTGCCGAGTCCATTGCTGAATTTTCTCGTAAGCACAACTGTCGATAATAATAGCTAATTGTCCTTACCTAGAGTACCTAGATCATCCTACCACCGTACGTCGCATTCATGGGGTTCTCTTTGTTAGCGTTGGGGGTAAGTGATGGCTCTGTTCTGAGTGAGGCCGCCATCTTATCGATGGTTTTGTAGCACGGGATACATGAAGAAGACCTGATCCTCTCTGTAAATCATGTGTATTGCTCAACCCAGAATTATCGCTTGTAAGCTTTGTCTGGTTCTAATTTTACCACCATCTAATGCTTTCCAGTTCATTGATTGTTCCGATATTCTGTGCAATCGTCATGGCCGCAATCATCGTTGTGGAAGGTGACTCACTGTAATATCATCCCTAGTTTGCAATTAACCTGAGGCGAAACTTAGCAATTATTTGGTACAACTGGTACAAGACACGGAAAGAAGTTGACGACCTCTTGGCAAAGAATCAGACAGACGAGCTTATAGGCATCGCTGGCGAATACCAGCACAGAAGACTCTCCATCTCGATATCGATTAGAGTCGGACTGTTCTCGTTGTACAGTATCGCTACGCTGTCGTAAGTAGACACCCAGTGATTTTGATTTGGACAGTTCATGAATGACATTGACAGTGCTTGTATCGTGTTCGTCTCGAATATGCCGAGTTCGTTTCCCTACATGGTGGAAGCATGCCGTGCGTGCCTTCAGAAATTATTTGGAAATGCTTTTTGCTGAATGTTTCCGCCACACAGTCCCTATGGCGGCCTTCCTGCTTTTCGGCACTCAAAGGGTAGGATAAAGGCTTGTCGCCATGCCAATGAAAACTGATTGGATAATTGGTTACAGGACACTCTCGAGCTCTGGTTTTGTCGCAGACGACGTTCCAATTCTCGGAGCCTGAGTGATATCGAGAAAGGTATTCCTAGTGCACGACGTCAACCCACAAGGTCGTCCGTGTTATCAGAACTGGCGCCTTCAGTCTTGACTACTGAGACGGATATAGTCTCGGATTTAACCCACGATCTGAAGACGCCAGATAGCGAGTTTCACCCGAGAACGCCGACAAAAATTGGAATCTAGTCTCATTAACGGTCATTAGTGGATCCAGTGTATTTAATAGTTAATTTAGCTGTCTGTAGCATAGAAATTGTAGATGTTGGTCTTGATTCACACCATTAGGAAGTCGCTGCATAAATGAAGCTGCATGGTATAACTGCCATTCCAGATGAATGAATCACAGATAATAAAGAAAAGCAATGCTGATTCCCAACCCGTGCGGGTGCCAGCTTTTTGCGATATGAGTACATCATGCACCTCCGCTGAGATAGAGTTACCAAATGAGCATGAGTCGGAGATATGCTAGGAGAGACATACACAAGTATATTGTTTCTACAAGAAAAGGTCGTCAGAACTGCATAGCAGCACGAGAGAAAAAATGGTCCACGTACATTGGAATGTGAATTAACTTGACGAAGTACCCAATGAAACCCATAACGGCGAAACCAACGGCGACTGCCCTGCAGATCTGTATAAACTCTGTGATAACTTCAGGACCCTGCAAATTCACTGATGTTGCGGAACACACCCTTCTTTGTAGGTTTGGTACACCGTGTCATAAACTGGTATTAAACATAAGGATTAATAATAAATCTGGATAAGGAGAGGACCATATTTACCTGGTTCCCCTCACGCAAGAACTGCTGAGGCACCTCAGCGAACTCCTTGAGTTTTTCAGACATGGTAATGAGGGAAGATGAGTTGGGCAGAATTAAAGAATGTGCGGTGAGTGGTGGCAGGCGTGCTGGCGCGACGTGGCTGTCACGGGACGAGGTTCTCCAAAGCGGAAGCTCGTTCCCATATGCATTTCTTTTTGACTTTGCTAAGTTTTTTTCCCAATGACCCAATCCCAAGAACATTGAGCACAATTATTTTCCAAGGTCAGTAGGGTCGAAACTCGCCTTAAATATTGCTAGGCATAGCTGAGAAATAGCCTATAGGCTCGAGTGCTCATGAATGAGCTTACGACCATGCGTTGCGAAGCTCGCGTTCAGTCTCTGGGCAATGCGACGCAATGTTCGCACTGCTGTAATATATCTGCCCGGACGAGTAGGACAGCGCCTCATTAGTTCACGCATACTTCCAATAGAACTACGCGAAACCATAAGCCCGGAATTGACCAAGGATTTGGCTGGTCTTCACAATGCAGTCAAAGCGGCTATTGGCAAGAGCAACGCAGACGAGCTTTGTTATAACTTGGCATCTTCACGAAGAGTCTTCTTCACGCTGCCAAGAACAGCATGGCAGCATATCCGCGAGACTTACCTGCATCTTACGGGGCAGGAAGTGGAGCAGATTGCCGGACTACTCGCGGGACGATGTAAGAAGGACGATGCTGAAACTCTTGGACAACTTCTTCGAGACTTGAAGGCGATGTATGGAGTCGATGCAACGTCCGAATTGCTTCTCACTTCGTTGGATGCTCTCATACGATCCGGACAACATTTAAATGCATATGAGCTTCTACAGCTGTTTCATAGCTACAAGAGGAAATTGTTTCGTCCGAACGCTCAACATTGGCAAACCGTGATGCAGGGGCTTGCTCTGATCGGAGATGTGGAGAGATTAAAACAGTGCCTAAGTATTATGAAGGGCTCATGGCCTTTCCCTGGAAACTCGCATTACCAGGCACTCTTCGAGGGACTCTATCGGACGGGGGATGCGCCTCTAGCAAGCGAACTTACGCAAGTTCTGGACGAGATGCAAAAATTCTGCCTTCCTTATGACGATGGTGTTCATAGCATTTTGCTCAAACTCGCGGAGAGGCATCGACTCTACTCTCTACCGACAGATTATAGAACTAAGTGCGTTGCTCAATGTAGGCCTACCGAGGAGGACATTGAAAGCTGGTTAATGCAACTCGTCGTATATCGCAAACGAGCCAAGCTGTCTTTCGAAACGAAACTCAATCATTTTCGGCACAAGGGTTTCGTCCCTGATGAAAGCTCCCTATTGAAGCTCGTGCAGATGATGTCCCTCTGCTCTCCTGAAGAGCTCACCTATCTTCAAGAAACGATGGAAGTCGCTCCGAAAAGTATCGTTTGGACGACGTGCATTCAGAACGCTCTTGACAAGACTGGTTGGCGTAGCGCACTTGCAGCTTACAATACGGCAAAATCCCATGGCGTAAGACCGGATGCAGCGATGGTCCACCCATTACTACGCGAGATGTGCAATAACCGATTCAAGGAACCTCCAGAAGCCGTGCTTGACCAGGCGCTGGAACTGTACAATGACCTCAAAGGCAATGCGAAGTCAAACTGGAAGCTCGGACCCGACACAGGCATCTTCAATACGCTGCTTCGTGCGCTCGCCGCAAGCAGTAATAAACAGAAGTACTTCTCTGTTGCTTTACGTCTGCTAGAGGACATGCGTTCACAAAATGTATACATGGACCGGATGACTGCAACATCTATCGGTGTCCTCTTAGTCCACTCGTCATCGACTTACGAGGAAGCTGGAGAAGCGTATAAGCATATCAGAAGCATCAACGCCGATGGTCTAGATGAGAAAGGGTTCGCAGCCGTTTTACATGCCTTCTGCACTTTCGAACCTGGACACGCCTCCACAGATGCACCCGAGAATTCCGCTGTGGAAGCCGTATTTAAAAGCAAAAAATCCGGTCATACAATCCTCATCCCACCAACGAAGCTCTACTTCGAAATCGTCCAAGATATGCAAACACTAGGGCTTCGAAAAACCCCTCAAATATATACCATCCTCCTCTCGCGGTATGCTATCCTCGCCACGCGTGCTCGAAACATTCAGGACCCAGTACATCGGGGAAATATCGTCCAACACCTACGTGACGTCGTTAAGGACACACACCACCAAATTTCCCGTGACGCAGGGCTTCAACCTGACGCTCCTCTCTTTAATCAACTCATGGACGCGTATAACAGGGTTGGCCTGTTTAGAGACGCGATGCAAATCTGGACGCTACTCAACTCGACAGGACTCGTGACGCCAGCGAGCGTGAGCATAATATTTGATACGTGCGGATATCACAAGGAGTCTCGGCCGGCCCATGAGATATTCCATGATCTGAAGGAACGAGGGTATCAGTTAAATCGCCGAAATTGGAATTCCTGGGTGGAATGTCTGTGCCGTTTAGGTCGACTCAATGACGCAGTCAAAGTCGTTTGTTCAGACATGGCCCGCGGAAAAGTAAGCACAATCCAACCAGACATCGAAACACTTAAAATCCTCCTGTCCTTCGCCTCAGCTTACGGAAGGTCAGACGAGATACGGACATATCTTAGAACCCATATACCAGATATTTGGAATTCTTTGCACATGGATAGAGTAGAAACGCGCTATGTACCGTAAGCATAATAATGCATAAAAGCAAAATCATTGTCTATCGTCATTGTGGATATCTATGCGGGTTGAACCAGAGTCATAATGAAGAAAGCCATCTAATAATTGTCTAGTCCAATCCTTTGCGCGGGTTGAAAAGCGCGATGTATAGTAGAGATAAGAAATGAGGCCATGAGATCGTAGAAATCTTAAACCGAAGTAACTTCGTCAACGGATGGGGAGTCAAGCGCAGGTTGAAAAGCGCAACGTAAGGTAACGATAAAAAGCGAGACCATAATGAGACTATAATAGTCTTAAGATGAAGCAACTTCCTCAACGGATGGGCAGTCACAGACGAGGTTGAGATCGCCATAAGCTAACGCATAGTAATAAATGAGAATGAATCCGACAAATACTTAAAGCTTCACGTACCATCATCAACTCTGGCAATACTAGGCCAGAACTTCTTCTCGCGCAACCAAGGCAAGGGGTATGCAGCACGTTCACGTGAATACGGCTTATTCCACTTCTCCTCAGGCAACAGCAAGACACTCATCGGATGCGGCGCGTTCTTCAAAAGGTTATTATCTTTCGGCTGGATACCATCGACAACTTCCTGTGCCTCCTTCCGAATCTCAAGCATCGCCTCGCAGAATCTGTCGATTTCCGCAAGACTCTCACTCTCTGTCGGTTCAATAAGCATCGCAGTGTTGATAGGCCATGAGCATGTCGGCGGATGGAACCCATAGTCCTGCAAACGCTTTGCAAAATCTGTAACACGTAGCCCTGCGCTACGCTCGAACTCGCTAAGGTCAATCAAGAGCTCGTGAGCAACGCGTCCACGTCCATTCACGAATCGCACGCTGTAGTGCCCTGAAAGGCGGGCGGAGATGTAGTTCGCATTTAGCAGTGCCGTCTTTGATGAGGCCTTCAAGCCCGAGCCACCAAGCATCTTGATGTATGCCCATGAGATGAGCAGTACGGAAGCGCTTCCGAACGGTGCAGATGATACAGGGGCGATACCTTTCTCACCACCAGTTGGAACAAATGTATGCCTAGGTAAGAAAGGTGCAAGATGCTCTGCAACACAGATAGGGCCAACACCAGGTCCTCCGCCACCATGTGGACTATACAGATAGTGTGTCAGAGTCAAATGATATGCGCTCATAGATTACTCACATAGAAAACGTCTTGTGAAGGTTCAAGTGACAGACATCACCACCGCAAGTTGCAGGGTTCGTGAGGCCAATCTGTGCATTCAAGTTCGCGCCATCGAGGTAGACCTGTCCTCCATTCTCATGAATGATCTTGCATGCTTCTTGGACGCCATCCTCAAATACGCCGTACGTCGAAGGGTAGGTGATCTATAATAAACACAAATTATTATAAATTTCTGTTTGAATTTTAATGGAATAGAGCTTACCATGAAAGCAGCAAGTTGATCCTTGTACTGTTCAGCCTTTGCCCGAAGATCTTCGAGATCAAGTCCACCGTCCGGGAGCACCTTCACAGACACGACCTTAAGGCCTGCCATAATCGCCGACTATATTGCAATTATACATAAATGTCTGTTTAAGTTATTTGCAATAGAAGGACTCACAGCTGGATTCGTTCCATGCGCACTGACGGGGATAAGACAGATGTTGCGCTGTCCTTCTCCACGCGACTCATGGAACGCACGAATGACAGATAAGCCAGCATATTCACCCGATGCACCCGAGTTCGGCTGCACAGAGCAAGCATAGAAGCCAGTGATCTTGCACAAGTCCAATTCAAGCTCCTACGTAAATCACTCTCAGTACTCTGCCCAAAACAGTAAAAGGAAATAATCTCTACCTTGATCATCTGCAAGTACCCTTCCACTTGATCAACAGGCATAAACGGATGTACACCGCTAAATCCAGACCATGTCAGAGGAATCATGCTACTTGTGCTGTTGAGCTTCATTGTGCAACTGCCAAGGGGAATCATGGCATGGACAAGTCCAAGGTCCTTGTTTTGCAGATGTGTGATATAGCGAAGCATCTCCGTCTCGGAATGATGCGTGTTGAACACAGGGTGAGGAAGGAACGGGGACGTGCGGACAAGTTGGAAGGGAAGTCCGAACGATGATACTGATGGCTCCATGAGAGAAACGAGTGATAGTTCAGACGCAGATACAACCCGTGCAAAGATGTTGATGAGTGTAACAAGGTCCTCAACGGAAATGCTTTCATCCAGCGAAACCCCTACACGGGCTTCGTCAATTTCGCGCAGGTTGACAAACGATTCACGAGCAGCCTGGTGCACTGCATAAGCGCCACCGGAGACAGAACCCACATTAATTGTCAATGTATCGAAGAAAGCCTCGTTCTCAATTTTATATCCGAGCTTTTCCACTTGCTCCGCCAGTACACGGGTAAATCCATGAACGCGTGTTGCAATTCGAGCCAGTCCCTCTGGTCCATGGTACACCGCATACATGGCTGCCATGTTCGCCAGTAGAGCTTGACTCGTGCAAATATTACTCGTCGCTTTCTCACGTCGAATATGTTGCTCACGCGTCTGTAAAGCAAGACGGTACGCGGGTGCACCCGTTGCATCGCGACTCCGCCCAATGAGACGTCCAGGTAGTTTGCGTTTCAGCTTCTCGGTACATGCGAAGAACGCAGCGTGTGGGCCGCCATAACCCATCGGAACACCGAAACGCGCGGAATTACCCAGGACGACATCCGCGCCCCATTCACCTGGAGGTTTTAGCATAGTCAGAGCCAGAAGATCAGTCGCGCAGATAACGAGTCCGTTTGCAGCATGCACAGAAGACACGAGCCCCGAAAAGTCCGTAACTCGCCCGTCAACATCTGGATATTGAATCAAAACACCACAAAGATCTGACCGGACAGCTTCATCTTCGACGAGTTTAAAGATATCACCAATAACAAGCTTGATACCGAAGCCTTTTGCACGTGTCTGAAGGACCGAGATGGTTTGAGGGAGAACGCCGGAATGGACCACAAAAGTTTTCCTCTTCATATTCGAGGCAGCATAGGACATTGTCATTCCCTCGGCTGCAGCAGTGCCTTCATCTAGAAGAGATGCATTTGCGACGTGCATGGCCGTAAGAGACATAACCATAGTCTGAAAGTTGACAAGCGACTCCAGACGACCTGGCAAAAAATGTCACCATATGCGCATCAAAACAGTGAATTAATAGCCCACCTTGAGCGATCTCCGGCTGGTAAGGTGTGTAAGGTGTATACCACGCCGGGTTCTCAATAATCTGACGCACAGTCAGCGTCGTAACACCCGGGAATATGACTGGAATTGGAGGGAACTTACATTCCGCAAAATAACGGGCGGAACAACCGCGTTATGGTAGCCCATCCCAATATAGCTCTTGAACGGTTTGTTCTTCTTTGCAAGATCCCTCGCGCGTCTTAAGAGCTCCGACTCACTAAAAGAGTGTATAACCGCATCATCCATGGTCCCTGCAGGAAGTCGTATAGACGGCGGAACAGATGCGTCCACGAACGCGTCCATAGACTCAAACCCAAGTGCGCCGAGCATCATCTTCTGCTCGGACTCGTTCGGCCCAATGTGTCGTTCCGTGAAGGTGTCAAGGGGTTTGAACAATGACCCTTGTGCTCTCGTTCTTGACGGTGATGGCGACGGCCCGCCTGCCAAGCCTCTCCCCTTCCCCACCGTCCTCACACGAGCAGAGGCATTACTGGACCTCAAGAGGTGCCCAAGCTGCGACATGCGTAGACCATCGCACACATAACGGACGGCAGCCATGGAGGTGCCGCACGACACGGAGGGTGTCTGGAATGAAGAGAGAAAATGCGCAGAAGTGATTTTTGCATGTCTCCGCCAGATAAGACTCGTCGATGGGCTCGGTGGACGCTAAATACTGCAATCTATGATTCTCGTTATGGAAACCCAGAAAAATAATTTCTTTCGGCTACCAAGGCTCGGGTACAGATCCTATTCAATTTTTACGTATCTCCGCCATCCACAAAAGCACGAACGATGTCCCTTTTGTCAAGGCACGCTCCTCGTACTGCATCAAATAAACAGTAGTAGGATCGCCTCTGCGAGAGATTTAATGCCCTCACTCGAGAAAAAAATGCACACAACCTCAAGTGCTACTTCATCACGAAATATTATTACGTTCCGGGTCAGTCCATTTACTCAGGAAATACAGATATGTAATGACGAAATTTTACCGAAGCGCCCACATATACAAATATCCCAAACAAAAAGTCGAATTCCGGACCCACGGTCCGCCTTCTATGGTATGGTATAATCACAATACGTCCACTTATACACATAAAGCAAATGGAGGTGACTACTCCTACCACATATGAATATTTTCTCAGCAAATATGTGCGGTACCTACCTGCTTTCGGAACACTTCGATTCATTGTACAGGGAATGTGGAACCAGCTATCAATTTCTAACTTCATCAAGTACACCTGCGTGTGCCGTTGTCATCACGAAAAAGTCTTAAGTATTATACTTGCTTGTAATCTTGTATATTTTATATATTTTATAAAATTTGTCCAATTACTTATAATCTTCCTGGGGGGTTAAGCAAGGAAAGTACAATGTTAAATAAGCAAGAAAAAATACTTTTAAAACTTGGCAATTTCCAATATAATTTTATAAATTGTCAAGTTATACAAGTGATTATAATATACTTCCTAAATTACAAGGTTAAGACATACTTATTAATTTGTGACAGTATAATATCTGCTTATAATGCTTACAAGTCATTACAAGTGTTTGAATAGCTTTCTTTTGCTTACTATACAATTTTATATCAAATAATTAATTAAACATAATTATATTTAAATTATAGAATACAAAAATAGGAAATAATATGCTATTTCTACAGTCCCAACCCCTATACCACCAGCTGCCTCTGCCTCATTATTCTGTGAGTAGGATTCGT